CGGACAGGTGAGACAGGTGAGAATGGGTGAGGACAGGTGAGCTCAGGTGGGCACAGGTGGGCTCAGGGATGGGGTTTGGAAGTGCAGGTGCACCTGGGGGGAGGGAGGAGAGTGGGGACAGGTGAGCCCAGCTGTGCCCAGGTGTGCCCAGGTGTGCCCAGGTGAGCTCACCTGTGTGACCCCCTGCAGGTATCAGCCTCAGGGGCTCTCACAGGGGAATTTGGGGCAATTTGGGTGATTTTGGGGCAGGTTGGTGGGATTTTCTCTCAGTTTTCAGGAGGTTTCGGTGCCCACCTGTGCCCAGGTGTGCCCAGCGTGCCCAGGTGAGCTCACCTGTGTGACCCCCTGTAGGTGTCAGCGGCCGAGGGGCTTTCACAGGGGAATTTGGGCCAGTTTGGCTCAGTTTGTGTGATTTTGGCTCACTTTGATGGGGTTTTGGCTCAGTTTTCAGGGGATTTTGGTACCCAGGTGTGCCCAGGTGAGCTCACCTGCGTGATCCTGCGGTAGGTATCCGCGGCCGAGGGGCGCTCACAGGGGGGATTTTGGGTCACTTTGGGTCACTTTGATGGGATTTTCTCTCAGTTTTACGGGGGTTTCAGTGCCCAGGTGTGCCAGCCGTGCCCAGCCGTGCCCAGGTGAGCTCACCTGCGTGATCCTGCGGTAGGTATCCGCGGCCGAGGGGCTCTCACAGGGGGGATTTTGGGTCACTTTGGGTCACTTTGATGGGATTTTCTCTCAGTTTTACGGGGATTTCGGTGCCCACCTGTGCTCAGGTGTGCCCAGGTGTGCCAGCCGTGCCCAGCCGTGCCCAGGTGAGCTCACCTGCATGATCAATCAGCAGCCAAGGGGCTCTCACAGGGGATTTGGGTCACTATGTGTGATTTTGGGGCACTTTGATGGGGTTTTGGCTCACTTTAAAGGGGGTTTCAGTGCCCACCTGTGCCCAGCCATGCCCGCCATGCCCAGGTGAGCTCACCTGCGTGATCCTGCGGTAGGTATCAGCAGCCGAGGGGCTCTCAAAGGGGATTTGTGTCACTTTGTGTGATTTTGGCTCACTTTTATGGGGTTTTGGCTCACTTTAAAGGGGGTTTCAGTGCCCACCTGTGCCCAGGTGTGCCAGCCATGCCCAGGTGAGCTCACCTGCGTGATCCCCTGTAGGTGTCAGCAGCCGAGGGGCTCTCGAAGGGGGTTTGGGTCACTTTGGGTCACTTTGTGTGATTTTGGGTCACTTTGATGGGGTTTTGGCTCACTTTAAAGGGGGTTTTGGTGCCCACCTGTGCCCAGGTGTGCCAGCCGTGCCCAGGTGAGCTCACCTGCGTGATCCTGCGGTAGGTATCAGCAGCCGAGGGGCTCTCAAAGGGGATTTGTGTCACTTTGTGTGATTTTGGCTCACTTTTATGGGGTTTTGGCTCACTTTAAAGGGGGTTTCAGTGCCCACCTGTGCCCAGGTGTGCCAGCCATGCCCAGGTGAGCTCACCTGCGTGATCCCCTGTAGGTGTCAGCAGCCGAGGGGCTCTCGAAGGGGGTTTGGGTCACTTTGGGTCACTTTGTGTGATTTTGGGTCACTTTGATGGGGTTTTGGCTCACTTTAAAGGGGGTTTCAGTGCCCAGGTGTGCCCAGGTGTGCCCAGGTGTGCCAGCCGTGCCCAGGTGAGCTCACCTGCGTGATCCCCTGTAGGTGTCAGCAGCCGAGGGGCTCTCACAGGGGATTTGGGTCACTTTGGGCCACTTTGTGTGATTTTGGGTCACTTTGATGGGATTTTCTCTCAGTTTTACGGGGATTTTGGTGCCCCCTTGTGCCCAGGTGCGCCCGCCATGCCCGCCGTGCCCAGGTGAGCTCACCTGTGTGACCCCCTGCAGGTATCAGCAGCCGAGGGGCTCTCACAGGGGATTTGGGTCACTTTGGGTCACTTTGTGTGATTTTGGCTCACTTTGATGGGGTTTTGGCTCACTTTAAAGGGGGTTTCAGTGCCCACCTGTGCCCAGCCATGCCCGCCATGCCCAGGTGAGCTCACCTGCGTGATCCTGCGGTAGGTGTCGGCGGCCGAGGGGCTCTCGAAGGGGGGGTGCCCGGCCAGCAGCTCGTAGCACAGCACCCCCAGGCACCACAGGTCCACCTTCTCGTCATGGCCGCCGCCCTCCACCATCTCGGGGGGCAGGTAGTCCAGGGTGCCGCACAGCGTCCGGCGCCTGAGGGGTTAAACACACACCTGGGCGCACCTGGGCACTCACACACTCACACCTGTGCCAGGGAACCCAGGGTGCCGCACAGGGTGCAGCGCCTGAGGGGTTAAACAGGGTTACACACACACCTGGGCACACCTGGGCACTCACACTCACACCTGTGCCAGGTGACCGCACACAGGGTGCGGCACCTGAGGGGTTAAACACACACCTGGGCACACCTGGGCACACCTGGGCACTCACACACTCACACCTGTGCCAGGTAACCCTGGGTGCCGCACAGCGTCTGGTGCCTGAGGGGTTAAACATGCACCTGGGCACACCTGGGCACTGACAGACCTCTCATAGCTGAGCCCAGGTGTGTCTCACCTGTCCCAGGTGTGCCCCAGGTGTGCCCCAGGTGTGCCCAGGTGTGCCCAGGTGTGTGCCAGGTGTGTGCCAGCCTCACCTGAGCGAGGGCGCGTGCACGGACCACCCGAAGTCGGCCATTTTGAGCCCTTTTACCCCCATTTTACCCCCATCCCAGCCCCATAACCTCACTCTCAGGTGTCCCAGGTGTGCCCAGCTGCCCCCAGGTGT